CTGTAATTATTGATCTTTACTGATCAACGCTTTCAACAGGGCAATGCATTATTCTGGTACAATCTCAAGAAATCAGGGCAAGGAGACAAAAGGACCATACACGCTGGGTGCCCTGTCTTGATAGGCAATAAATGGGGTAAGGACTTTATAACGTATAATAAGAACGCTATTTCATGATTTCTCTTGACCCTTTCAAATGACGCTACTTTATGCCTCGCTGGCTTACTTGTTCTATGTATATGATTAGCCTTCTCCTCAGGCAACACTAACAATCACGGGATTCCTGTCTTTTTTGGGAGTCAAAAGAGGTAGAATGTGGACGAGAGAGGGAAGTTCCTCCTCTTCTTATTTTTCCTTTCTCGTCACTAGTCCCTACCGGACAAGATGACCGTTACAAAGGAAGCCCAAAGGAGTAAAAAAGAGTTGCCTGGGGAGGATGGAGTATAAAGTCTGCGCAACTTTTAAAGCGATTATATGCACCCTTTTTATTTTAGTCGCAAACAAATGGTTCCACGAATATGGTAACGAATTTCGACGCCCATGTGGACTAAACGAGAATGATTAGAAGATCTGAAAGCGTTTTGTGACTACAGAGAAGGTCTTCTTGCGTGACACGTCACGTAAATGTGTACCCTTCAAATGGAAACCCAAAGTTTGACGACGCCGTTAAATAGAAATCGTTCAAAAGGCGCTCTGTTACTATACAATAGCTAATGTGTGTCCATCTATGTGTTCAAGGGTACATGGGTACCCTGTGTAATAGATTCGCGAGAGGGGGTTTTGAGAAAAGGAAAAGTTGGATAAATTATTAATAAAAAGAAAGAAAAATTACATGAACGAAAATAAATATGAATACCATTTTTAAACATGCATTTTCACCGTTCCATATCTATTTAGTTTTAGTTTGCACGCATCATTCATAAGGGTTTTGACCATTTCTGGTGAAATTATTTTGTTTCTTTCCTGTAAGCATATAAACCTTTGCATGAAACGGTCACATGGTACTAAATCCACCATACTGGATATCAAAAGAATATATACAACCTCAAAAACAAACGGAACTCAGCCTGTCAAACTTGACTTTTCTTTGTTTTGAACATCCCAGTGTGTATTTTGCCATCCAGTATGATGGATTTAATACCATGTAACCTTTTCATGCAGAAGGCCCATTGAAGATGGCACCCCCCGCATTCCTTCCCAACGCTTTCCCTCCGAATGAATTCGTACTGCCTATTACTTATAAAACTTTTTGATTTGCACTATATTTCTCCAATTTGGCTTTAATCGTATTTCAATCAAGAGATAAATTAGTAAATAAAAAAGCTTTTAACCAAAACTTTTCTGTTTGCTTTACATGACAAGCAAATCTAATATATTGACGTTGCAGATGCCAAAGAGAAGGCTCGGAATTGTCTTTTTTAATTGARAAGATTTTYTTAAAATCAGATCCCTCCAGGCTTATTTTAATTGCCTGGTTTTGCAAGACATTTTGTTGAACATTGATCATCTTAAATCACGTTTCTTCCTGCTTTACGTCATATCAGTATACCGGGCTCTTTTGCTGTCAGACTTGTTTGACAGAGGTGATATTATAATCAAAGTTTTGTTGTTCCAACTCTAAGTTTCKGTTATTTCGTAATGGACTTCATGGGAATTAAAATCTCAGCTTCCAAACCTTCTTATTTCTCAGATGAGAGTAAATGCCCTGAGCCCAGTTGTAAGAGATGTAGACATGATATATGACCGTCCAAGTTTGAGAAATCTTGAGGAAGGCTTTTCGTATTGTTTCCTGACGTTTCTACAATTTCCACAAGACTTCTCACACCTGGACGATTAATCATACCTACATTAATTCTAACAGTAGCCTTAAAGACTTATGCGTGGGTTCCTTTTTGGATTCTGCGTCGATGCAAGCCATTATTTGCGGTGCAAAGGAAGAAACATTTATCTGCTCGGGTCTTCTCGCAACCAGTTGCACCTGCATGACGAGTTCCCAACTCATATTACAATCAACATTTATCTTTTTAAGATCAAGTGAATTTTCTTTGCTTTCCAAGAACAAAAGACTGCTTCACGAACATTGAAATATTAATGTTGATTAATCTTCAACGTTCCTGGTGATCCTGCAGCGAGGGGAAATTGTTTTCTGACTCTTTTTATTATAGTTAAAAATCTTCATCAGTTTGTTGAAACTTTCCAACAAATGGACTCTATTTCTATTCGACTAACAAATAAAGGAAATATAGTCGGAGGGTTAACATCGAATTTTTGAAGATATTTTTAGAGCAGAAGTTCGAAGTGATATTTTCCTTCGAGGGAGTCCATCCCAATTTTTCATTTCGCTGTGACATGCAGAGGTAGTTCTGATAAAACGTGTGTTTGCTCAATATTTAGCAAATATACATTACACAACGATGCGTTCTCAAAGGACATGTCAGTGGGTATATTTGGTCACGAAAATCTCAGATGATTGCGGTCGTTTGGTTATGTGATTTTTCAAAAGTCGAATCAAATTTTTGCAGAGTTGAATGGAAATGAAATAAAAACTAACGAAAACAAATGCATGGAGTAATGTGCAATAATTGCGGTTCATGTATAAAGATTTGGGGGTTGAAACAGGAAGTCGGTGCTAGATAAGTCATGTGAGTGTATCAGCAATTTACTCGTGTCAAGATTTCAGTTTTTATATCAAACATTGTAAGGTTATTATTAATCATAGAAAAGGCTTTGTGAGAAACTGAAAATAGTCTCACCATAGGTGTCATTTTTAATGGTGTTGGTAAAGTTGTTATGTGTGGATTTGAACCACATTGGAGTTTCATTTTTGCTTAATAAAATGAAACCTCATCGTTTAGCCATCGAGTCAATACCAGTTTAATGCTGTTTCTATTATAGATGTTATGAAGTTTTTACATAAAAAAAATCTCGAAAAAACACTTTATATAAATAAAAGGTGTCCACGTAAAACGATTAGCGGTTCTCATAAAGAACTCTAAATCAACTTAAGGTGGTGCCATTGATTTTTTTATTAAAGTCTTTTGATGAACTGTTTATTCGCGATGTCGTGCGAAAAACTACAAATAAATAACACGTTATTACAAGCTGAAAATATAAAATCGTATAATGACTGAGACTCGACTAGTAATACGGGTAAACTAAACCCAGAAAGCGCGCGATTTCATTTTAAGGTAAAACTATAACATCTACTTGGTAAGCTTACGCGATTATTAATAAAAAAAATTAACAGATCTGAGAGTGTATACAGCGGCCGCATTGAAACCGTGAAAGTTAAATATATTTGTGCGCAGAGAAAATGGTTTTCATAAAAACAATTCAAATGATGTTCCACTTCAGGTGCAGGATTATTTAAATCTCGAGACTTTGATTTTGCACAATTTCATGGAATTTCTGCTTTCACATTACTTGCCAGTTATTTCATAATAAATAATGGAAAATAACTCTCGAAACTGACGATATCTTTTCTATAGTGTTACTTTTTATATTGAACAACGCTCCTGTATGTTTTTCATTTGAACTACGGCAGACTCAGAAACCTTTTCCCTGTTACCAGTACTACTTTGCCTCAAACTGTACTCCATAATATTGCTGATTGTATCAGAAAAACAGCATTTGGTTATCATATCTTTGAAGTTCTGACGATAAACGCTATTGAAGAACAGATAAACAAAGAAATTGTACACAAGGCTCATGTACAACATGAAAAAAGAAATACTCGTCAGGTTAAAGTTCGCTTCTTGGGAAAGATGATCAAAGTTTCCAGTATCGTTCAAAATCGCAATTATGGATCTCGAGCCCCAACTAATGTAAAACAAAGCGACAATAGTTACAGAAAGCTTTAAAACCTTCCTGTTCTGAAGTTCTTTACGTCTTATAGTTGAATTATTTTGAAATCCAGGAACTTTGTGCTTGTGTAGTTTGTACACAATGAGTACATAGATGATAGTAACAACAATAATGGTCACACCAAAGGTCAAAACATTGTTAACATAAAAATACACGGAAAAAGACGAGGAAATGTTGGATGACACAAGGCAAATTTTTTGGTTATCTTCAACTATAATGTCGTAAAAGTAGAATATTGGCGCCTTGAAGAAACTTGACAAGATCCAAGTCAGTGCGATGATGAACTTGATCTTGGGTTGAAAAGGCTTCTTGATGGGATGAGCCACGGCGAAGTAACGATCAATAGCAATGAAAAAACAGCTGTACACAGAGACTGTAAGCGATAGTTCAGCTGTAAAATTGCTTAATTTACACAACAACTGTCCAATAATACCTCCAACTAGCCATTTTTTATCAAAGTTAATCCAAATCAACCGTAGAGGAAACACGCAGACTGCCGCAAGAACATCGCTGACCGCCATGTTTGCTACTAAATAATTAGTGGTAGTTTTCAATCGTTTGTCTTTATAGACTATCCATACGATGAGCAAGTTTTCAACGACGGCGAACACGAATTGAATAGAAAATACTACGGTGAAAATCAGTATGTTGTCGCTATAAAGAGAAAAACTCGTCGAGCTCGAATTCGTCGAGTTTGAATTCTCGTGGAACTCCATTTGCTTTCTTTGTTGTGTTCGTTCCAGCAATGACGGACTTCAACTCAATTGATTTTGCGTGATATATTTGAATAAGAATCACATCTTATTTAAACAGTTTATTTCGCAATTTGAAACACAATATTTGTAAACGGGCCCTTATAAGGTAACAACATGACCATGTTTGGATTGTGCGCTCTGGAGCGCTCTGAATGTTCCAGAAGTAATCTTCAAGAGGGAAGCAATATAGAGGCAATTAGACAATCATAATGACTGGCAATAGATCAATGTTTAAAGGGCTACTTGGATGGAAAATGGAGAAACACTGGAAACGGCACAAAATTCTTGTAGACTTATCTATAAAGATCCTATAATCACGAAGCAATGTATTTTTACAAGATATTGATACAATTTCTTAGGAATTTTGTCAAAAGATTTTGGAGTATATGACGTCATATACTCCATCCTTTTGTTCTATCTTCGTTTGAGTCAAAAA